TTATGTTTATACTCTCACAAGAGGGTCTAAATATGGATCTCGATCGCGACTCGCTGGAATTAATGATGAACTTGCTCGAGTCGGAAATTGTAGCAGCGCCTTCGGATCGCGCCAACTACGAACGCAATCGTCAAAAAGTGCGTGAACTTTGTGAGGAAATAAAATCGCAAGGCAAGGCGGCTCACCTCAATGTAGACACACTCACTGTCGGCACATTGGCCATGGAAACGCTACTATCGTTGACCTCAAAACGTGCCGGTGATTGGTTTAAGGAAGAGCTACGCTCACTTGGCGGTCTCGAACATATCATCAAAACGATTTCCGACAATTGTCGCCCTGTAATCGATTGCAATAATGGCGCTACACATATTCAATGGACGCAATCACTACTCGACAATATGCAAACGGTCGAGCGTTGCATGCGTGTGCTGGAGAATGTGACGCAATTGAATGAGGAGAATCAACGATATGTGTTGACCTATGGTCAAGGCGAGACGGTTCATACATTATGCTCATTATTTACGCTATGCGATCGTGAGATAATGCGTCATGTTGCCGAGACAACCGAGCATTCTGCCAAAGATAGTCCAGGTGTGGTAATGCGCGAACTCCTATTCCCACTCCTCAAAGTGCTCATCAATTTAACGCACACATTCAATCCGACAAAAGCACTGGGTGCTGAATTGTTGGGCCAACGTAATGCTTTAATCGAGACCAGCTTCCGTCTGTTGCTGCAGGCACCCAACTACATTCCTGAACGTTGTGTTTTTGAGCTGAGTATTCTGGTGAGTAAAGGCTTTGCGTAGCACACTAAGTGGAAAATTTTATATTTTTGTTGTATATCCACAGGTGCTGCTGTTGCTTATCAACCTTACCATGTATACGATACCTAATCGCGTGGCGATAATGCGAGTTTATGCGCCACCCGAATACAGCAGTCATCAACAAAACAAGGTGACTGCCGTGCAAGCTGTGATGGAGTATTTCTATAGATGCGAGGAATTGGCCAGGTAATCAATGCCTGTTTTTCTACACTTAGCATCATATATACTAATTTCCTTGATATATATATATATATATAGATTGGTCGAAAAGAATACAGATGCCATTTTGGATAGTACCGATAAAAATAAAAAGAAACAGGAGGAGGTTGATGAAACTGTAAATAACTGTAAGTATAATGCGTATTTATATTATAAGAATATTATATTAAACGGTTGCGTATAATACATAAAAAAATAATTGAATTAACATTTGAATTAAAAAAAGTATATTTTGTAATCCCGAAAATCTGAATTAAATACGGGATTGAAAAACAAAAGAAAAAACTTTAAATTCCAATTACTGGATTTAATTTAAGTTTTATTTTATTTATTTTTAATTTTGAATCTCAAATACAGAATTGAAAAAAGTTTTAAATCCAAGCTTATTAAAAATTAAGGAAATAAATTATTTTAGAATTTTAATTTTTTCACGTTTGCATACTTCCTATTCTATCATTTTGAACTAAAGTTCGCACAGAGCCTCACCTTCAATACCTTAGAGAGTTAGAGATTTATATTTTAGCAATTTTTAATCCAAGATGTTTAGGAAGAAAAATTAAATTTTAAACTCTTACTATGAAATTAAAATTTAATGTTGTTAAATTGTTTTGGGATTAAAAAAATTGTTCAAGACTTAATTCCGATTTGGGGATTAAAAATTTAAAATAATTTTTTTTTAAATAAAAATTGAAAATTAATTTTTTTTATCTGCAAATTGAAAATAATTTTTTTTTTAATTGAAAATTAATTTTTTTATATACAAATTGAAAATTAATTTCTTTTTTTAAATTGAAAATTAATTTCTTTTATAAATTTATAAAAATTGAAAATTAATAATTTTGTTTATTTTCAATTGAAAATTAATTTTTTTTGTTTATTATAAATTGAAAATGATTTTTTTTTTTTTTAATGTAAAACAATTTTTATTTGTTAAAAAATTTAATTTATTGTTAATTTTTTTTTTTTGTGATTAAAAAATTTTTTTTTTATTAAAAAGTGAAAATAAATTTTTTTTTATTAGAAATTGAAAATTAATTTTTTTTTATGTACAAATTGAATGTTAATTTTTTTTTTAATTGAAAAGTAATTTTTTTATATCCAAATTGAAAATAATTTTTTTTTTAATTGAAAATTAATTTCTTTTATAAATTTATAAAAATTGAAAATTAATATTTTTGTTTATTTTAAATTGAAAATTAATTTTTTTTGTTTATTATAAATTGAAAATAAAATTTTTTTTTTAAATTTAAAATTAATTTTTATTTGTTAAAAATTTTAATTTATTGTTATTTTTTTTGTGATTAAAAAATTTTTTTTTTTATTAAAAAGTGAAAATTAATGTTTTTTTTTTTTAATTTTTTTGTTGATTATAAAGTGAAAGTTTAATTTTTAACAAAAAATCTAATTTTCCATCCCAACATCTTAGCGTAAAAACTATTTGGGTTTAAAAGTTTAGATTTTCTAATTTTTAACTGAAAATTTTTGAATAAAAAAATTCGCAGCCCTGTTATTGAAAGATTATTCAATAAACATTTTAATCGACAATTGTAATTTACAGTGCTGAAAAACTCCGGCCATCACATGGAGCACACTATCAAGGGTAGTTATGCTGCTCTGCTAATTGGCCACATAATCACTGATAATGAGGAATACGAAACGCTAGTGCGTAGACATTTACGTGGAAATGGCTTCAAAGAAATTATTAGTGTACTGGAGAAATACTATACATTTATGGATCTGACTTGTGTAAGTACATGCATATTGCTGTTACACTTATATGTATTTGATTCATTTCATTGCCGTCATTTAACATTTTTCTCTTAATTTTTCAACATCATTTCGAATAGTCGGATGCTTCAGCAGTGGCGCATATAAAGTCGACAAAGACACTAATTGATTACTTCAAGAAACGTGATTTAGTGTACGAAATGAACGAATCCGATGACTGTGCGCTTCCCCTAAACTTAGAAACACATCACGCTTCAACGTCGGCTACCAGCGCAAATGCTGGTATGGACATTATCGGCAATGGCGATAGTCCGACAATGACAGCGACACGTAGCGGCGGCACACAACGCGTCTACAAAAGCTACAGTCAAAGATAATCACTAGACAAATTTGTTTTATATACCACAAAAGTTGTTGTAGTATCAGTTTGCTGCAAATTCGTTTTTCTGCTAAAATTTGCACTTTGTGCAAAATATGCTAAAACTTAAAATTTCAACACAATATTTCAAATTATTAGTTACAATTGGTTTATTTTTACCTTATAGCGATAAAATTGATCTTTTTTAATATAAATAGTTTTACTATGCTCTAGAATTTGTCTAAATTAAATGTATAATTTTAAAAGTTTTACTGCACAATCATTTTAATTAAACTTATTTGTTTTTTAAATAATGCATATTTTTCGTATATATTATAATATATTTCTAATTACAACAGTTATATGATTGTATGTATATGTATTTTAAGTAGTCTATAAGTTAAACTAAAAGTCAAGCTTGTATCTTCAAATTATTATTTTTTCACATTTCTAACGACTATTATAATTTACTTATAGTAAGTATTACATTTATACTCATTTATGTGCAAAGATAAGCTTTTGCTTTATATACATACATATGTTACGTATAAGAAAGACACGAACAAAATGTTATAGCTAACACTGATTGGATATATATATACAAATATAAATAAGTGTCTACCGTTCTAAAAACAAACACACAAAAAAAAACATAAAAAGTAACTGTATTTGTAATTCTAATTGTAATTGTATTTTTAAGCAATATTATTATTATTATCTATTTCACTGTAAATAACTTAGAAATTGGATATTTCTGATTTTACTTTTACGCTAGAACGCACCGCATGTATGCGCGTGTAAATGTGTGAGTTATAGTACATACAAATAGACGGTTAGCGTTTGTTTTGTTGAAACATTCGTACTTGTAGTTTAAATTATGTTGCGCAACCTAATACGTATATATATGTATGTTGTATGTTTGTGCGAAAATCGTGTGAAAATTTTTAATGTTGTAATGTTGGCAAAAAAGAAAAAATAATAACAAAAAACAAAAACACACTAAACTAAATCACAAAAAAAGAAAGCAAAACATTGAATTGATTGATAATGTGCGTGGATTACAAAAGTGTGAAAATGTGCGTTGGGCGCAACAATTTAGGCTACAAAATGAAAACGAACGAAATTGGATATTTAGATTACAAAAAAAATATTTAATATATACATATATATATATAAATATATATAATGATATAAAACACAAATGAGCTAAATGTACTAAAAAAAGAGAAAATTCACACAAAACTAGTATTTAGAGATGGCAAAAAATTCGAAAAAATTAATTTCATAACTCATAAAACACAAATGCATACATTTTTGGAACAAAACATACATACAATATATATATACATATATAAATATATTTATTTTGTGTTTGAAATTTGGCATTAAAATTTGCAACTGAAAGTGAAATAAATAAGATTGTTTATTTAAAAAAAAAAACTTTGTTTTAAGCGCCGGCATTTTAACGTAAAGGAAATTGTGCTGAATGACGTGTTGGAGAAGATTTGTAGTGAGGTAATACTACTTATACCCTTCACAAATACAAGTATTTATATGACAGCTATATGCTATATGCTATAGTGGTCCGATCTGAAAGATGTCGTTCGGAGATGTCACCGTTACCTTGGGCAATAATGCAATGCTAAATTTCGTGAGAATATTTCGTCAAATGAAAAAGTTTTCCATACAAACACTTCATTCTGATCGTTCAGTTTGCATGGCAGCTATGTGCTATAGTGGTCCGATATCGACGGTTCCGACAAATGCGAAGTGTGCAAAGTTTCAGATCAATATCGCAAAAACTGAGGAACTAGTTGGGGTTTTTACCCTGCTAATGCTTTTTAACTAGACATCATTCCTTAAAATTATTTGAGGATTAATTTCTGCCCCTATAACAACAATAATATCATACGCGCACTACCTCTGCATAATTTTTATTTTAATTTATACATACAAAATTTAAAAACTTAATTATTAAACAAATTAAGTACTCCACATGTGGCAACCACACGCCATTGGTGAAAATCAGCTGTGCGCCTTGGCATTTCATAACCAAAAAGGAACAAGTGCACGCGAATTACAAAACTTACCGCTTTACAATTTTTTATAAAAGTTATATGAAAAATACAAGTAGAAATAAAATATACTTAAAATCCTTAGCATAAAACACAGCAATATTGAAAATGGTAGATGCGGGACAAAATGCTTCGATCGATAACTTGGATAAGGATCAAATGAAAACAGTGAGTTTGCATAATGCATAAGCAGTCTATATACAAAAGTACATGTATTTCTTAATAAAACAAAATGAAATATCGTTTTCAAATTACAGTTCTCAGATTTTCTGATGTCCTATAATAAATTGTCGGAAATGTGTTTCACAGATTGCGTGCGCGACTTTACTACGCGTGTGGTCAAAGACAATGAGGTAATAAAGAAATTCACCGGCGCGAATGAGATGTTTGTTTACTTGCCATAATTTGATTTTTCTATGTAATTGCTAGGAGCGCTGTGCACTCAATTGTATGGAGAAGTACCTGAAGATGAACCAACGTATTTCACAGCGTTTCCAAGAGTTCCAAATGATTGCCAATGAAAATGCCATAGCGATGGCACAAAAAAGTGGCAAACTTTAACGTGTGTTTAGAGTGTTGCAATGCAACGCAACGATTCATTGATGTTGAGCACAGTGAAATTGTGTAGAATATTTAGCCAGAGCTATAAGCATTTCCTCTGAAGCGTACATTTGTGCATTTGTTAACTTCACAACCATTGTTTAATAAAAGGTAATTCTCTACTATTTTTCGAGTTTTAAAATATTAGTGCAACAAAACATTTAACTTGCAAGTAGTATATTCAAAAAGAAGTTTTTTGTCGTGATGAAATTTTACATCTTGATGAAAACGCAAAATATATTTTATTAAGTGGATCAAATATTTTATATGTAACGCTTACCTTACTCGATGTTACATTTCTAGTTATTGAATATCAATATACGAAATAAAATGTATAAATGTGATTATTTAAAGTGAAAAACAAAAGAAATGTTAAGCGTGGCTAAAAATATGTTTTTTTACTTTGCAAGAAATATCTTGATAGTATTGAACTACAATTTTGCGTAATAAAAGAAGCTCTTGAAACAGTAAACGTCTACCCCTAGGACAATGTAAAGAGTCGTGTGTCTGAAAGTACTTAATTCAAGAACATCAGCAATCAGTAAATTTTTTCCAACTTATCTCGCAACCAAGACAATTAAAAGGTATATTTTTACACTCTTTTAAGCACCGCTTACCAACCGTCTACCTCGGTAACAAAATATTGAATAAAAAATAGCTTTGCTTGCGACGATGTACGCCGGAGTTCACTGCCCTGATAAGCGGGCGCATGGTTTTTAAACTGCTTATTTGGCATTTTTATTTTCTTAATATTTCATATATAATAATATAAAAGATTTAAATTACTATTCGAAATCTTAAGAGAATGCGCAGTGCTCACATATATATTTAATATCTTAAGAATAATGATAATATTAGGATACAGACAAGTTGCGAACGCGAAGAACTTAACATAAGGGAAAAAAAACACAGAATTTTTTTTTTAGAAAATTTAAAAATATGTGCGATATTTCATATGTATTCTTAATGCACTTAAAATAATAAATAAAATAAAATATCAATATTTTACGGTATTGTGATCAATTGACGATGTAATTACTAACTTAATTCACAAGTAACTTTTGGTAACTGCTGAATACTAAAGAAAAGTACTACTAACTAAGAATGCTTTCACTTTGCAGAACTGCCTTAGCAGCTGACTCGATGTAGATTTCGTACGATGATAAATGAATGAAAATTCACTAATAATGTTTTTTTTTTTCAATGAATTGAGCCACTTTCACCCTGAAAACCCTCTGTCTCGCTTATCAATGCGTACTCTAAAATCACACGTCCTTCCTTGTATCTAAAATAGGAAATACAAATAAATAGTTGAATTCAGTTTTCAAATATTTCAACTTACTTTTGTGCATCTTCAGTGGCGTATTCATACATCCAGCCTAATTTGGCATCGCAGCTCTTGCACATTACATCGCGTACCATATGTCGACCCGTAAGCATAACCCGCTCTTGGACATTGCTAAATGTCAGGTTAACCACACGCTTAAAAAGATACGCACGACCTGCGAAACAAATAAGTAAACAATAATGTAGTCAGTTGTGATAAGTAATCAGTGCAAGCAATCTCAATCTGACGCCAAACGCAATTGCCACAACTCGTATGTGTGGTAATTCGCCATCATAAAAATAATTTCATAGTTTAACTCACCCGTTGCGCCTGTAAACCGAGTGCTTATCAATTGACTACGATTGGTAAGATTTGTCTGGCACTGTGCGCAGTTGAACAGTTTCGAGCCGCCAATATGCTCGAGGAAAACACGGCCCATATTTAGTTTATGTTAGACGTTTTATTTTATTTGTATTTTTTTTATATTACAATTGTTTTCTGTGAGTTTTATTATTTGTTTGTTTAACCTCACAATAATTGTCAAATATTTTATTTTCTTCAGACAAATTCACGAGTTTAATCGTCTAAATACGGTTGGTGCCACAAATAACAGTATTGAAATAGTATTCGTTTCACAAGTTGTACTGCTTAATGCTGTTGAGAAACATTGAAAAATTGTGCCATATTAGGAAAAAAAGAATGAAATGACAAAATTTTATTCTTTGTTAGCAAATTTGAAAATTTCTCTTTTTTATATGCTCACTTGCTTAGGCATTTTACTCTATTTCAGCATATATTTACCAATACTTTTTGTACCGTTTATCGCGTGACTTTGATTAATTTCTACTACGTTTCAATCTATATTCGTCTTTCCCGATATTTTTTCTTTCTCTGTCGTAATTTTCAAGTGCATTTGCAATTTATTTTGACTCTTTCTATTCTCTTGTTTAGACAATAAATGAACGGTAAATATTTTTGAAGTTAGCTGCAATTGAGTCAAGAGTTGCCGGTAGAAGGTGATTTTGTAATTGAAACATTGAAAAGAAAAAACTTCTATTCTTTCAAGCTATTTTTCATTACTACGCCATTGGAACGTATTGTTTAATTCTTGTTGTATTATGCAAATATTTACAAGATTTAAAGCTGTACATTTAAGACATGTACGGTACCTTAAAGTTTAATATGGCTAACACATAGCATACTGTACCTGAAATTGTACACACAACTTGCAACCCTGCATACGTAATTGGAAATTCACATTGACAGATAATCAAGTACAACAAACTTAAATTTTTGTTCTTTCTTTCCGGAATAGGATTTTGTGAGGTGTGCTTGTTCTCGACTTCGAGCTAAGGCCAAATTTTTAAATAAAAATCTAATTTTTTGGCGACTTGCACCAATATTAATAATTTAAATACTTTATAACCATGTCTACAAAAGCTGAACTTGCTTGCGTTTACGCTGCTCTCGTTTTGGTTGATGATGATATTGCTGTTACTGTGAGTATAACTACTGATTGCACAAAAGTGCGCAAAACTATAATTGAAATCTAAAAATATTACAAGAATCCTTGTAGATTTTTCATGTTTGCTGTTTTGCACTTGTGCGAAAATACCAATTCATTTAAGAATGTACTTATATTTTGTTTATTTTTCAGGGCGAGAAAATCTCAACCATCTTGAAGGCCGCCAATGTTGAAGTTGAACCTTACTGGCCCGGTTTGTTCGCCAAGGCTTTGGAAGGTATCAACGTCAAGGACTTGATCACCAACATTGGATCCGGAGTCGGTGCTGCTGCCCCAGCTGGTGGTGCTGCCGCTGCTGGTGGAGATGCTGCTCCAGCTGAGGCCAAAAAGGAAGAGAAGAAGAAGGAGGAAGAACCAGAGGAATCCGACGATGACATGGGCTTCGGTCTCTTCGATTAAGTCTAAACGTTTTATAGTTTTTATTAAAACTTTTAATGTGTCCTATTGACGAAGTATAAAAGAAATTTTGTATACTACGTATACAAAACGTGATACAATTGTCTACTTATTCACGATATGGTTTATGATCCAACTAATCTGTGTGCAGTTAGAAAACGTAATCGGAACGCTTTTATGTAGGATGTAACGTAAAGTTTTTTTGTAATTGGATGTGTGCAGTGCAAAATGTGTTAATTCCAATCATTTAATGTAAGTGCATGTGTTATGAGAAGGATTTTCGACCTGCGCGAAAAATTTGCACAATATTATGCTACATAAAAAGCTGATACCGAATTTAATGTATTTGTATGGTTTTGTAATGGTTTCAGCTATGCTCTATGAGTTCGCCGCATTATTATGAGTTAGGTACATTTAAAGTAAAATATGAATTATGTAAAAAAGCTTTTTGACAATAACGACGACAGCGAAATGATTTAGATCGTAAATTATACCATTCTTAACCATAAAAGGATTTTTATCCTTTCTGCACAAACAGCAGCGAAAAGGATTTTGACGCGATTGAATTATGAACATCCCGATTTTGGACCGACCAGGGTTATTTTTTTGATGCGCGACCGAAGGCCGCCACTGCAGAAAGGAGTTTGACGCGATTGAATTATGAACACCCCAGTTTTGGACCGACCAGGGTTATTTTTTTGAAGAGCGGCCGAAGGCCGCCAGTGCAGAGAGTAGTTTGACGCGATTGAAAAAAAAATAGAAATATTGAAAAAATTCACTTTCCGCTCACGGATTTGTAATCTACGCGTAAAAATAAGAATATTTAAAAAAAAATTATAAATTTTGAGGCCTCCTTAGTTGGGGGACCTAAACTATACATTTACCACGATTTTTATAAATATTGCTACAGGTAATTGTTGCTTAAGATAAGGTAATGGTGTCAATAAGTCAAGACTGGACACTCAACTTTTTATAGGAGTTTAATTGTTTTCTATGCAGTTGTGCTCTGGTATCAAAAAACTATAATCATACAATAAATTGGCAGCAGGTAAGTTTTATTGCAGCTATTAGTTCAATAACGATAAGAGTGCAATATTCAAACTATAATGCGCGAATAACGCTTGAAATAAGTTTCAGTTAAACTTCGATAGCCTTATAGAGCGGAATTCTTATTTAAAATTCATTAAAATGCGTGTGCGTACAAGAATTTGGGTATTTTATATCTTTAAACAAATATTTTTATGAGTAGAAACGATAATTTAGTGGAAGATATTTTCTATTTCGGATGTCTGTAGACTACAATAGCCTGTGTACTACAATAGCAGTGTAGTAGTATAGTGGAACATACGAATGCTTTAAATTTTACATAATATTTATTGTTACTAAATTGTTCGCGTTCGCTTTAAGTAACGATAACGGAAGCAAATTTAGATCCGCTCAAAAAACAGTAAATAACCTTACCGCAACTAAGTGGATAATGTATAATTCCGGTAAAACAACATATTTGTTTCAAAAAATTCCTATATACTTTAATTCATTCTCCTATAAATTAATATAATGATAGTTGTGTAATGCCTAATCAAAGTCGTAAAATCAGTTATCATGTATGTACATACATATGTACAAATGTAAAGTTCTCTAAAGTAGTTGATTGGATAAGACGAAAAAGATATATGTGTGGTTGTGTTTATGCTTCAACCATGAATTCTGTAATTATTGTTTAGTGCAGACAATATTATTTTGAAACTTTTTAAGCCTCTTAAAACTGTTTGTAAGTACAGAGAACGTATATCATAATATAATCAGAGAACGTATATCTCTGATATGATATATACGTTCTCTGGTGTAAAAAAAAAAAAAACAAAATGAAGTAGAAACTACTGTACGAAACGAAAATAACAACTACGCTATTGTGAATGCCAGATTAAAATTTTGATTTGATGTATATATTTTATATATTTTTATTTATTATTATTTAAATTATAAAGTATTTATCACATCTATTTTCTATTTTAACTACAGGCTAAACTGTTTTCTCATATTATGCTATGGTGCTTTTCAACGGCTGTAAGTATTATATATAAAACGAATTAAAATTAATTATAAATATTATTATTTTAATAGGTACACGAAATGTTTACTATTTTTTATCTCATTTAATAATTAGTACTATTTAATAATTTACTCTAATTCGCCACAAGAGTATTTCATATTTCGTAGTGTGCGAACGTTGTGTTTGAATAAATTTTTAGTGTCATAATAAATTGTAAAAAAAAAATCATTTGTTTTGTAAAATCTTTCGTTCAAATTAACTGATTTTGGAAACTTTAAAACAATAACCAGACTAACAATGACTTCACATCTTTGTCATTGCCAGCTAAGCGTGGAGCCCATTGTGCTTGTGCACGGCGGTGCCGGTTCCATCACGGATGCTCAATTGCCTGTGGCATTACATGGAGTCAAAACGGCAGCACGCGTCGGCTTCGAGACACTCAAATGTGGCGGTAGTGTGTTGGATGCCGTGCAGCAAGCGGTGCGTTCAATGGAAATCAATCCACAATTCAATGCTGGCTATGGTTCGGTGCTCACTTGGGAGGGCAAAGTGGAAATGGATGCCGCCATCATGAACGGTGTGGATTTGGATGCGGGTTGTGTTTCCGTAGCACGCGACATTTATCATCCTATCGATTTGGCACGTCGTGTTATGGAGAAGACACGACACAAGTTTCTTTCGGGCGAAGGTGCAATGCTTTTCGCAGAGGAAGAGAATTTCGAAATTCTACCCGAGGGCGCTTTGGTCACGAATAAGTCACAGAAGGCACTTGAAGACTACAAGAACAGTTTGAATGCAACGACAAAAAAATTGTGCAATACCGATTTGAATATTGGATGCCCTTGTGATATACAAGGTGTGCTGTCGTATTCTGTTCTCAATAATTTCCTCAAAGAATACGGTTCACAGGGCACAGTCGGTGCTGTTGCCATTGATGAATTGGGCAATTTGGCTGCCGCTACTTCCACGGGTGGCATAACAGGTAAAATGCCCGGACGTGTTGGTGACTCACCATTATTAGGGGCTGGCACATATGCTGATAACGAAGTGGGCGCCATATCGGCTACAGGTCATGGTGAGACTATTATGCGTTACAATGTCGCCTCGCGTATTTTGGCTTATATTAAATATGAAAATATGACCGCTGAAGAGGCGTCAGCGAAAGTCTTGAAGGACATGAGGCAACGTTTCGAGCAGACAGCCGGCGTAATAAGTCTCGATAGGGAGGGCAATGTGGGCATCAACTTTACAACGGCACGCATGACTTGGGCCTATCAACGCGGCGAAGAGCTACATTACGGTGCGGATCCGAATGAAGATAATGTTGACATAGTAGGCGAACCGCGCCTAAGCGCTTTGGATTTGTGTGTTTAATTAAGGCTTTTTACTGTTGCTGGAGTAAGATAAGTTGTCTGGTATTATTGTTATAAGCAAAATTTAAAGCAATATAATTCTAAATTTTTATGTATGTAGCAGCAGAGAACTTAAAAGAATGAGTAGTTCTCTGGTAGCAGCTAGTGTTTTCATTTTCTTTAAGGGTAGGTGTTGTGTATTTTGTAATTCATATGGCAGCATCATTGTTTTTCATGGCATACTTTCGGGCGCATTTTCTTCGGGTGTAGCAATATATAGTACAGTGCCACGAAAACTGTGCTCGATTTTGTGACTGCCTGCTTTGCTTTATGGGCGCCCGGTGGAATTGGGGAAAAAATGAATTTGGCTCTGCCGCACAATTTCGCAGCCGCTGCTCGCTGTCGCTGCTTACGCTAATATTTGCATGTAAAATGAAGGAACGCCGTTTTTTGTCGTTTTAAACGTAATTTAATGAAAAATCGAATGTATTTGCAAGGATTTCATTAAAATATGTATAATAAATAGTAAATTAAATTAATATTTATTACTAAAAAATAAGCTTACCGCATATCGCTTAATTCGTAGCGAAACTAATAAATACACGCTTGTTTTACAATGTGTTTTGAATCAATTTCATTTGTTTTATTATTTTCATTATTTATACATACTATTTTTCAATTATAATTATTTATTACATGCTTGCATACAAATTATCAGCCACACGTACAAATACATAAATTATCTACACCTATGTATATACTATATACATACTTAAATGTACATATGTATTGTATTTATAATGCAGTCATATTACATATTAAGAGTACATAAATAATTTAAATTCCAATTTTTAACTACATACATGTATCATGCATATGTGTACGCATAGTTTTTGTTTTAGTCTCATCCCATGCTAATTAGTTTTTCAATGAATATAAGTGTTATGAAATCAATGCCTTGCGATGATTTTGTGTTTACAATTTAGCTGTGATCAAGCAAAGTTATGAAATACGTTTGAATATATGTATGTATATATATAAATTTGTATGTATGTATATATACACTGCAGTTCTTGTCCATAGTCAAAATTTTCCAAAATTCATACAGCCGTTTGTCAATTTTTTTTTCGATGCAAAATTTAATTAGTACATTAACAATTGAAAACATTTTTTACATGCACTTTTCATTTGTTTTGTTTGTTAGTTTAATTTTTAATTTAATTCGTAGTAGTTTAATTTTAAAATTTAATTTTAGTTTTTAGTTTTTTACTTTTAAATTTAATTTTGTTAATTTTGCATTGTATAATACATACCATAGACAAAAAATAAAAAATAATTTTTATTTGTTTTAATTATTTTACAGTTTCTCATTTTATATTGGTTTAGCAATTTTTTTACATTTAAAATTTTTTTTAATATTCTGATTCAAATTAAATTAAATTTTGACTTTTTGCGTTATTTTTTAGTTTATTATATTTTGTTTTATATTTTTTTAATATTTGTGTATTCTTTGTTACTATTTTTTTTCATTTAAAATACGTTACCTATGTTTGTTACTTTTTATTTTTACTTTTTTGACTACTTTATAAATTTTGTTTAATTTTTTTTTTATTATTTTTAATTAATTATTACTGTAATTTTTTGCGTTCTTTTTTATTTTTTGTTTTTATCAGATTTTATTAATTTTATTTCTTTTTTTTTAATTATTTGTTATTATATATATTAATTTATGTTGCATTAATAACTTTTTTTTTTACTTTTTATTTTTATTTTTTGCTATTTTATGAATTTAGTTTCATGTTTATTGTTTTAAATTGTTGTAATTTTTTGCTTAAGTTTTTTATTTTGTTATTATACTTTATACATATTTTTTAATTTGTTCAATTAATTTTTCTTTATTTATTATTTATTTGAATTTATATTACATTATGCATGTGTTTACTTTTCATTACCATTATTATTGTTGTTTTGCTATTTTATACATTTTTTTTATTTGGCTAATATTTTTAAAATTATTTTTTATTATTTTTCCTTATTTATTTCATATTATATTATATTTATTTTTTGCTATTTTCAAAATTTTGTTTAATTTTTTATTTAATATTTATTTATTGTGTGTTTTTTGTGTTATATTTATATGAAGTATTATATTCTATGAATTCCGCTTATTGTTTTATATTATTTATTTTAATTTATATTGTATTATGCAGGTTAATTTTTTGCTTTATATTCTTATTGTGTTTTTGCTATTTTTTAAATTTTTGGCTATTATTTGTAATATTCTTTTTTATTATTTTTAATATTATTTATTTTTTAATTATTTTTAATATTATTTTTGTATTATTATATTACATTATTATTTATTTTTTACCATTTTAAAAATTTTGTTTCATTTTTTATTTATTTTTTAATTATTGTGAGTTTTTTGTGTTTTATTTTTATGTTGTTATTATTATTATTTTTTTATATTATTTATTTTAATTTATATTACATTATGCATATTTATTGGATACTTTTTATTATTAATATATTTTTTTTCATTACATATTCACATCGAGTAAATAAAAGACATTTTTAAGCAAACTAAAAATATTTCAAATTTAATTTAATGCTTCAAATTTGGCTTCGCACAAGTTCGGCTGCAAAAAATAGAAGTTAAAATAAATTTTCAATTTCACAAATTTCTAAAAATTCATTACAAATTTTTCTTTGAAAAGAAGTCATCACACAAATAATGTTAAATTCCATTTTCTTTGCCAACTTCAAAAATTCCTGGACTAATTATTGCTACTGCCTGTTTAACATTCCATAGCGCACCCTGCCGCACTTAGCACTAACCAAATGCTTAATGTAATGATTAGTTTTTGTATATTTCTTTTGAATTTTCACTTCAAAATTGTTGCTGCATTTATTCTTCATTAATTTTTTCGTTTGCAATTATGCATATGGGCGTACACTATTTATACATATAAGAATATAATTCCTTAAACGCTATAATTCATATACATGTTTTTTTATATTCTTAATATAGTATACTTAACTATGTTTTAGTTAATTTTTTAAATTACACTAATAAATTATAAACTAAATTTGTTAATATATAATATTTTTTCGACAACTTTACCTTTAAGGTTTTTACAGTTCTTCTCTCCGTTTTCTAATGTTTAATTGTTAGCTTTAGCTTATTATTTAAATGCCACTAGTTAGTTGAGAAGAATTTCTAATAGTAAGAATATGTTCTTTTTTTACAGATTTACTTGCATTTTATTGCGGTTTTATGTTGCTTGGTTTTGTATTTCTTTTCTTTGTTTACATGCATACCGAAATTTATAATATAATAGTAATAGATGGCGTGTGTGTTTAGTTGATTTTGGATTGTGATTATTTTTTAGTAATATTTTTTCGTTTTTTTTTAATTTAATTTATTTCCAACAGCATAACACATATACACAATTCATATATATATATCAGTTCTTACCACATTCGCACGAGTTCCTTTCGATTTACTCAAAATTTTTGTAATTTTAATTTTTTTTTAATATTTCATAATAAATTGTGTTAGTTTCGCTTGTTTGAAAAGTAGTTTACACACAAATGTATGAATAAAAAGAATTTTGTATATGTATTGGACTCGTAAATAAGTGAGCAGAACTCGAGATTACTCAAAACAAGCTGCGGTTGAACCAAAAAAAACACAGCAAAAATATTTTTTAAAAATTTCCAATGCTTTGAGCAAAAAACTACTAACACTATTTTAAGTTTAACAAGCGTGCTTTATAGAATTCAGCTGTCAATTCGCAATTATTTTTTTTTTTTGCTGGCAACTCGCAATAAATTTTCAAACAGTATTTTACGCCGTACAATGCAACAGCTGTTTGTTAGCCAAAAAATTTCATTAATTAAAAATAATTATATATAAATTTGTGAAACAATTTTTTTTGTTAAAAAGTGATTGCGCATAAAATATGTTAAAAGCGAGTTTTATAGCCACACAATCCAGCCGCAACTACAACGCTTATGAACAGAGGGATAAACAAAAAAAAATTCAAATTTAGGTCGAAAAGAAAACTGGAAAGTGTTTTCTACTAATTATACGTACATATATATGTACAAAGAAAGTATGCAATCCCTATTCGCTTCATTAATTTAAACATCAATATGATGTAACTAAGGTGAATGCAAACTTTAATTTTTCACAAAACTCTCGTGGAGCCGCCGCATTTGGTTTTTAAATATTAGCAAATTTAATGTTTTTTTATTTCTTTTCTTACTTTTTATGCGCACTTTCCTGCTTTCAAATATCATATATACTTATTAGCACTTCTCAACCGTACTACTGCCGCTGTTGTGGACTGTATACTAAATGGCCGGCAGATAACAATGTGGAAGGCAATCATACCATGGTAAAATGGCGTTTACCCTCACTGGGATGGACTAAGGGAGTTTTTCTTTACTTTACAGCTATTGTTGTTGTCGTCAATATATGTATGCTGAGCATGCGGTAATTTACAATTTATAATAATAAACAAAAATATTTGATAAATTACACTTTGCAACAAATCACAAGTTTTTACCAAACAGTGTTCGCTTTACGATTATACTGCTTCAATTTCAGAATTTGTTTAATGTTTTTATGACATATTTTAGGCATTAAAGGAGCGAAGCATGTTTCAGAATTTAAAAATTTTATATTTTTAAATAATTTTTTATATATTGATTTGACGCTTTGAGTATGCACTTAAAAATTTTGAAATACATTTTTTTTTATAATACGTAGACATGAACTCTAGCATCCATGTGAACCGTTATAGAATGGTTCGCACGACAATCGGGTCTACGTAACCGTAACCGACACGGACCAGATTTTATGCAGCCAAGTATTGTCAACTCGGCAGCATTATTCCAAACTACTACAGGTATGTTTTGATATTTTTTGTCAGGTAATGACAAAAGAAATAAGATTTTGTGAATAATTTCGATTTTTTAAGCCACTCTGAAGCGTAAATTCTTGCACAAAAATACCTATTTTTTTAGGGGGCCGCCATTTTGTTAATAGGCAAAATTTTGACTAGTTCTTTGATCATCATCTGTATACCAAACATTTTTTTTTTTGGTATTTGGACTTTAGCTAATTTTAAGCAGAAAAATTTTGCTCACCGTCACACTTTTCGGATATCGGCGACAGGAACAAGGGAATACAAAATTATTAAAAATGAATCGCCGATTATTAAAGTACATGAAATTATGTAATTTTTGTTTTTTAACTACCTATTAAACAAAATATCTCTTAAGAGATACCGGGCTAAGTTTCGTTTGGTAATTAAGGGGATCGTCGTATATAACTTTATAAAGCTGTAATTAGGCTAGATTCAATATGAAGTAATAGGAATTAAGCTCTTGAAAACATGCACACAATTTTTAAATTACTCTTCATAAATTTTTTGAGAATTTTTAATTTACTCTTCATAAATTTTTTTGAGAATTTTGGAATTTCCATAAAGTATTGCACTTATTTTACATTTGCTATTAGGTTAAAACTTTTTTGCTTGGCCACACCACCACTTTTCAACTGCCGCCACATCAAATAAGTATAATCTCCTGCGCACAACTGTTTGGCATTACTTTTGTTGTTGCAGCAACAATATTACAATTGTTGCAGCTGTTGTTACTGCACTTAGTGATTACAACAATTAATTAAATTATATTTAATGTAATTTGCATGATTACACATGTATATTGTATGTATGTGGTCTTCAATAAATATTTTTAAAAGCGGTTTAACAATTCATACACATTTAAAACTTTTACAATTAAACATTGAGAGAGAATTTAATTCACAAATCCCTTTTCAATGGCGAAACTTATAAATGTGACGTGTGTAAGTAAACATTAACGCGTGTACATACACACATATTTATAGATTTTTACAACTATTATGATAAAGTATATATATATGTATGTATTAGGGTGTTCATTATTTCACAAGTTGATTACTTTTCCTAAATAATTTATGTGGAATTTTAGGTACTTTTGCAATTAAGTTTTTAACTTCAAAGAAAATAAGCCAACAACTTTAAACGAATGATATTTTATTATAAAATTTTCCGCTCTACAAAAAAGGTCTTAATAGTTTTTCCATTAAAACATTCCTTTAAAAGTTATACGCAGTTAAAGTTATGCAACAAATGTACTGTATTCATATAGTACACCATGTCGTATGAGCAACATAGAATATGTAAATCACTTGTATGCATGCTCATGTCATTTGATGTATAATTTAATTGCGTTTAACTTTTAAAAGAACGTTTCTATGAAAAAAACCAATAACCAATTTTTTTGTAGAGCGGAAATTTTGTATTAGAACAGTAATTTTTAAAGGGGTATATTTATTTGCATAATGTAAAATATCAAAAAATCGGTTGCTAGATATGTAGATGAGAAAAGAAATATGATTTAGACACGCTTTAAATTGCAAATAAACAGCTTGTTAACATTAGATCGTTTTTTAGAGCAAAAATTAAAACTTTAGGAGGTGCTTGCAAGAAAATAAAAATTAACGTGGGAAATAACGTACACCCCAATGTATATGTATGTAGTAATCATAGGAGGTGTATCTTAGGTTGTATACATATTTACATTTGGCGATACGGAACTGTGTTAGCGTATAGTTGCGTTTGGTAGCAGTGTATATACGTTTGTATGTATGTGTGTATGTGTGTGTATGTGTAGAGAAATATAATATAATATAATACATTGGTATAAATGACTCGGTATTAAAATCGGTTCGGGGTTTGGTAAAACGAAAAACGTAAAGAAAATAACTATAATGTGCTATATTATAACTAAATATTAGCTTGCTGGCTGGCAATATAGCCTACACAGCGCGGCGTCCATCCCGAGTCCATTTTAGAAGAATGTGGAGAACTTGCGTCTGTTAGGCGTATTCGCCGCCATAACTGGCACTGATGCGTACGCCGATGGCTCGGCGGCGCTAGCCACAACGCTTGCGCCCTTTTTGCGCGCATACGCTGCAGCCGTTGCCGAGATGGTCACCGAGGCGGGTGGCACGACAACCGGCACAACCACGGGTTATACGGAAATCTCGTAATTCATATCGTAGACGCTCGCGCGCTCCGGTGTGGGTGTGGTGGTGCGTGCGCCGCCCACCAAATGCTGTGCACCCGGTCCGCCAACGGCTGATGCCGGCATATTGCCGACACCGCGACCCTGTTGCTGTTGCTGCTGCTGCTGTTCGAGCGTTTGCATCTCCATCGAATCGGTCATTTCGAGTGCGCGCACAAATGACATGGGACGCGTGGGTGTTTGTTTTCGCTTCACTTGCGGCGATGGCTGTGTTTGCAGTTGTGTGACGATGCCGGCACCACCGCTTACACCAACGCCAACGCCCGGCCCACTGGGATTGGGTGGAAAGACGGCCACGCCGCCGCGCAATTGCGGCTGATAACCGCCGACAGTCGAGTTCGTTAGCGCCTGTGATGTGTGCACGTAGTTATTTGGCTGTGAGGCGACGGCATTACCGACACCGTAACGCATCATATAGGTTGGCGCGTTGGTCGAGGACGATGTGGCTGGCATGGTTGTGGGGCTGGTTGGGTTAGAGCGATATTGCTGTTGTTGCGAAGCTGGTACATATTCGCCTGGCTGATGCATGCGCGAATGCGTCATGATCAATGGATGCGACTGCCCACTGCCACCGACTGTGATGTACTGTGCGTGATGTATGCTATTGCCCATTGTGCCGCCAGCACTGCTGCTGATGCCCATGGAAGAGGGTGGCATGCCGCCACCGCCGCTAGCGCTGCCGCTACTGCTACTGAAACCGGGCGATGTGTCCTTCCACATGTACACGCCGCGCTGTGGACTTCCGGCCAATTCGCGTATATTGTCCACGGTGTTGTTAGAGCGCGCATACGAAAGCTCGCTCGCGCCCTGGCGTACCAGCTCACCTTCGGAGAGGAAACGGCGTTGTGGGCTGCCGCCGTAGGTCTGCGAAGCCAACACCTGTTGCTGGTGATGTGTTAGCGGAACTAGCAATGCGATATAACGGAGAAGAAGAGAAAACAGAAAATGTCAGTATAAAATAAAATCTGCATTAAACTCCACTTAAAAAACTACTTGTGAATTTTCGGGGAAAAGGAGTGAGAAAAGAATGAGTTCAAAAGGAAGTTAATATTAGGAGTTAAAATATATGGTATACAAAAAAAAAATATATATATATAAATTTTTGCCTCAACACAGTAATGAAGTTAGAGAAGCAATGGGTTTCCATATCGTGGCTCATATATATTTTTATATTTGCCTATGCAATGAAGTCTTGACTACAGACTATAATCTCTATATTTTTTAAGTATCCCAAACAATTGGGTACGTAATGCGAATGTACTTGGATTAACAACCGGCTAAGCGCTGTACAACTGATATGTACTATCAACAACAGAGATTACAAAAACCAGCAACATTAGTAATTAGCCTCACCGCTCTATGGCGCTACAATCGCAGAAGATATAAAATCTCGAGGAGTTCTGTCGGAATTGCAGCAGAATCGGTCACGTAGTTTTGTTTCGACATCATGTGGAAGTGGAAATGCTTCAGAAATGTAGAATATTGAAAAGAGAATTAGCAATATCGGTCGGTGATTCGATTAATTGAAATCAAAGAGCGCTCGAAGGCTGTACTATGCGGTGACTCTACTTCTCGCTTATAAAAATTGGCTCAACGAAAAATCCACACCAGAGATCAACGAACAGTCGAAACAGAGGACCTCATCCGGCGAACCTGCTGCAAAGACAGGTCAATCGCTTTGTGGGGTCCATGAATAAGTTGAAGACGATTACAGGGCTATACTTAGCCGAATTGTGGACCGATTCGACTCCAAACATCATTAAAATTCAAGAAAATTATAGGTTTTAGTTAGCCTTTATTTTGGATTCAACGATAATCTCGAGGCCACAGTTAACTGTTCCTGCTTTACAAATAGTGAAGCTTCATGAAAGCTCGACATTTCAATTTCTCAAATCAAACACAATATATATTGAAAAGCTTGAAGAGGTCAGCATTAGAAAAGTCGCTGAACTAAAATTAAGTATTTTAGCTATTGGACGGAAAGTAGAAATCGGTGGAAAAATACTCTTTTTTATTTTTACCAAACTTTTCGTACATTCTAAAACCTTTCACTCCTTTTGACCGCATACAAACAGAAACCAACAAATTCTACAAAGGTAAACACGCCATACATACGGTTCAACATTGACTTTTATATGTACTTCTAATCGTATCTATCTATAGTATCTTGTATCTTCATTTCGTCTTTTCGGATTTTTGGATGATTTGGTTTTCGATTTGGGTGTCTTAGTCTTAAAGGCGCTGGCCAAGGCTAGCAATTTCTTACGTTTCTTCTTACCATCGTGCAATGATCGCTTGCGACCACTTTGTTTCTCACCTTGTTGCTGTTGCTGCTGCTGTTGTTGTTGTTGTTGATGCTGTTGCATCATGGCACGTTGTTGTTGTTGCAACAGCATTTGCTGCTGCTGTTGTATGGTAGGCGGTTGTGGATGCTGCGGCGGTAAGCCGGTCGTATACTCGTAATAGGTCTGCGACGGCTGCTGTTGCTGTGTATTTAGACCAATAAAATCGGGTCGTCTTGGTTGAGTAGGCGTGCCAGGATTGGATCTTTGCCGAAAAGAAGGTAGTCGAAGTGAAATAGAAAGAATATTGTTAATTATTTTGTTTATTTTGTTCGTTTTGTGTAAATTTGCGACGAACATATATCGTTCATATAGCGATGATTTACAACAACAAGCATTAAAATTCACGGCAATTCAGGTTATGTATTAACAACAGTTGATTAGTTGAGGAAATCATAAATATGAATGCATGTACTTATGTATTTGTACGAGCATGTTTGTATGTATAAGGCGAAGTTTGAGTGGATTTTGATTAAAAAAAAAAAAAAAATTAAATGTAAGAATTAAGTTATCGTTACGCAAAACGCACAACAAGCTCAGATAGTTGCGATGGATTAAAGAAATACATGACATATGGAGTTTATTAAGACACGCACATAACGGTTAAACACACATAGAGAATAGAGAAGATGCTACAATTAATACAGTAACTGTAAATGTGCTGATATTATTGTATGTACGAAGTTATCGCCATGAAATCGCAGTAAATAACGGCATTTAATAAATTACATATTGTATTAGTCAATCATAAGTCTAATTACAGCAATAATGCACATTGCTCGAGTGCCGACACAAATACTTTTTTTTACAGTAATGATTACACTACACTTGTTAGCAAACTAAGTTTATGAAAATGAGCATTTCGATTTCGACAACAACATATCTTTAAATCACATGCACGATCGGCTGCAGAAACACTTAAAAAAAATCGAAGTCAGAGAATGTTCTAAGATAAGTTTTCAACTCTTGCTATGAGAACACAATAATTGCGTTCACCTTACGGTTGTTTGAAAAACTAAACGAGATGAATATTTGGTCATACGAATACACAATATCAAAACGAAGAATCGAAGCGATTTCGTGATGTTGTTGTTACCATCCCGTTTGGTTGGTAAAGTTCAAGTTGGTTGTCATCGAAGTCATCTAACGAGCGGCGCAGAAAACAATAGATGAGTGGGCGATGTCTATGTGTCCGGTCGTCTGTACATGCTACAGATAACCTACGCAAAATATGTGTATTATTTTTGATAACCTTGGGTAAGTAAGAATGGCATATAAGTGAAATTGGACTACTGTTCTCATAAAAATATATCGGAAAATATAAAATGTGATAAAAAAAATATATATATTAGAAATTATGGGGTGAAGTATGGCAAAACTTCAAACTTCTAAGGCATCACGGTATTTTTCAAAGTAAGCTTGGGTTGTATGTATGTAATGGAATCTTAGTGTCAATTTTCACTGGTTTCCAGAAGTCTGATCAACTTGAAACTTTGCAGACGTGTCAAGGACCCATGACAATGCAATAATTTGATAACAGTTTCCAATTATTTTAAAGGTTGGCGTAACCCCGCCCTCTAAATGGTTTAATGTATATATCTTCCAAACCGCTAAAGCTAACTCAACCAAATTTTCTGAGAGGAGGTCCTTTTAGCACTTTTTTATACGCTGTGAAAATGGGCAAACTCAGATAATAACCACGCCCACTCCCCATATAACAGTTATGTTAAAATATACTAAAAGTGCGATAACTGACGAAATAAATCGCCATAAGCATTAAATTTCACAAACCAGATGGTAGGGAAGTGCTTTATAGGATGTGGTTTAAAAATTCCTTTGAAGCGTGTTTTTTTAGTTTTTTTAAACTATAATTTATTTCATTAAGAGTTCTAATGGTTTTTCAAAAGCGATTGCAATCGGTGTATATCTAGCCTTCATACACTGAATTCTCCTTCCATCCGCTTGTTCTCGAAACTTTCCTCTTATATAAACTTCCATCTTGCACTAAAAATGAACGAAGTTGGTGAATACGTTCTGCTAAAACTACACCTTAAACGACCTTAAAAACATCATGCCATTGGTTAGGTTCTGCCGAATTTACATTGGACCCCAAGTGGTCGATAGACATAACGGTTGCACTTTTGCAGCGAATGTGAATTTGAAATTAATAATACTTTAAATTACTTGTGACACAATCATTCTTTATCTCCGAATTCGGATCGACATCTTTTTCGATGATTGTGTATGAGTCTTCCGAACTCTAGTTCGACAGTTAACCGACTAAATAACCGTGAAGCTGATGAACTCCATTACAAAATAATAATGGGCACCAGATAAACAAAAGAAAAGCTTCGAGCGTATTTCAGTCACGAAAGAACTTCGCATAAAATCTATCAGCTGTTCGAAGGCGCTTTTAAACACTTGGGAACCTCACATTAGGTCGCTTAACTATACATAGGATACATGAGATATATATATGTATATAAACTATTCTAAACGTCATACAAAGATTTATTATCCTCGGCATCAGCATTTTTAATTAGATACATCGGCTGGCAGCTTTATTTAACCCGACAATGATGCACGGCCAGATCGATCGCAAAGTTATGTTTTACGTTTTAAAAAATAAATAATAAAAATTTTGCGCTTTTTAGAGAAATAAACGTATTTTATTTTCATTAAAGTATGTTTGTAAGAAATTGGATGATATTCGAAAAGGTCTAAAAGTAAGGAGTAATGGAGAAAGCCATTTAATCCTTGTAAATGTATATATCGCAATATAGTGGTGAGATATTCTTGCTCTTTAGTTCTCTGCATTGTATTTAGCGATTCAATAGCTTTTGTATGAAAACAATTATGCTGTTAGGCGCCTGTGTGAGTAGGCAACGTAAGGTGCTGTGCAACACTGAACTCAGACCGTATAGCAGCGAACAGGTGCCTACTAAGGGCAGCAGTAAAAGTTTGGTACGTAAGCCGTAACGTGACGTATCATCGAAATTGCACAACTCCCATATGCTAACGTTCGGCGCGAGAAACATGTAGCGCAGATGCAATACCTGCCCCATAAACCAGGCGCAGTAAGCTTGAGAGTATTGCAGTATCTTCGAGAGCGCTATGGTGAACAGCAACCCCACAAGCATAATGAAATTGATTTCAGACTCTTGTGGCCAATTGCCCTTCGTAGTAACACGCCTAAAACGTGTTTCGCTTGTTGTACCTTTTATCGGCGTGCTGGCGATCGTATCCAGCAGCATGGTAGAGCTTTTCTTCGTCAACAGCGCCGATTCCGTTGACATGCCCTCGTAGTAAGACTCATCGTTAAAGGAGCGCGAAGAGTTTTTCGAGATAGTATCAGTGCGTGACGATGTCTTGTAATGTACATCCGCATTGCGTTCTGAATTCAATATGTCTGTGTCGTTGCTATCGCTTTCGTCTGGTGAAATCTTCGGCGTGTGATTCGTTTGCAACGCGACGCGTTTCGTGATATTCTTCCAATGTTTATTGCCATTTAGTAAGCAAGGCCGCATGGGGGTTAAGGTGTCCGAGCTTTTGGAATTGTTTATAACGCTGTCATTTCGATTGACTGTCTCGGCGTTGCCACCATTATAAAATCCGATGCCATTTTTACTCATTAAACTATTCATTATATGGTTGAGATCCGCTTGTGCTTTGCGATTATCACGATTATCGGTCAGATTACGTCGATCGTTGTAGTTTGGCGCATAACCGTTATGCGCATCGCTGCTTTGATGATTTCTTTCGTTCGGATGCAGTTTGCCGCCGCCAAATTTCATTTGCAAATTTAGACTTTCCGAGGTGTAGGGTTTATGTTGCGTTTGCATGCCAATTTCTTCACAAGTTTTGAGCGTGTGTTCGTCGTAGATGACAGCGTTGTTATTATGTCGGTTAGTCTCACTTAGACGCGGCATAATACGCAGATATGCAAGCTAGAAATTTACTTGAATCTATCAACTTGTTTTAGAAACTTTTCGTTAATTTTTTCATTTATATCAAAATTTATGAAATATATACAAAAGGGAAGTGTGTTGAAATCAAAAAAAAAAGAACAAATCATCGTCAAAGCAAAGTGGGAGTTTACAGACAAAACTCGACATACTAAAGTTGAAAATATTTAGACACTTGATTGCTTCAGACAACTCATTAAGGGTCATACCTAAAGAGTAAGATATCTCTTTGAGAGGGATAGACATGTTACCCTCTTTAGTAAATTAGTTCCTTACAATAGGCTGTCTAAGCTAATTTAACAACAACAACTTTCCAATGAAGCTAGTTCCTGACTGATATTTCAAATTTGAAAGATTTTAAAATTAATTTTTTTTTAAATAAGACACTTGTAGTCACAAGCTTTGGTATTTTGAAAAACTGAATAAAAATCAGTTGTGTCTGTTATTATTTCTTGAGGCAAAAAATACTCCGTGTCTCCTTCATTTTTCTCCGGAGTCCAATTGGCAGCCATCCGAGTAATCTGCACTCAATCGAACCGATTCAAAAATGTGGAAAGGCGCAAAACGGCATCTATATTTGGGCAAGCGCATTGAAACGATTGAAGGATAAAAACCCGGAAATACGGCTTAACTTGAGGAAATGAAATGGATGATTTATAACACAATCCCTCTCCTATTACCCAAAGCTGGACGCTTCTGGGCGATTGCTTCCTTCAGATGGTTTAATTGTTGACAAGTTTGGCCGTAGAAGAGCAGCTCATAGTAGATGGTTTCCTGTCAATTTCACCAAACACATAACAAAACCTTTTGACTGTAAATCCTGGATTAAACACCGCTTGCGTCGGTTCACTGCGTTTTGTAGGTGTTGTCGTTAGTGGCCTACTTTAGCGCCTCGGCAAACGAAATCGTTTATACATGACGTTCTTACTCGACAATTTCTATTGTTTTATCGATATTTTCGATAATTGGGCATCTAGAGCGTGATGCATCTTTGATATAATTTTTAGCCGCCTGTAAAATATGGCGTTTTTTCTCTTTGCTGGTGTCCACTTTAGGCACGTGCTCAAAAAATACTGAGTTAAGCAATGACAAAATTGTCTTAAGAAGTTGTTTTTGTAATCTTTTATTTCCAACTGCACTTATAAAGATGCGGAGAGATAGATTACTAAAACCATCTATTGGAAAAATAGTGATTTTTTTTTTTAAATGCCTTACATGGTATTTGGCGAAATTCTTTTTCTCGCAAATTCGAAGTGTGCGTGCGACGGATAGAATCTCCAACCAAGTTTTAAACCGACTTCGAACAACTGATGTATTTTTTATGAAGCTATTATAAATATCTGGATCGGTATCGAAAATGACCGGTTTGTAGTTAAGAATTTTGCCTTCGCCGAGCGCATTGAACCCACGATCCACATACTTAACGCACAATAACTATAGCAGCCGGATTTAAAGACAGTTTCTTGAAGAAACCCAAAAAATACCACGATAAGCTCCTATTAAATTTTTATGAATACAAGCAAACGCTTTCCGATTCTGACTGCACTGGCCAAATACAAAACCCGTTAAATAAGACACTAAAAACAAATAAAAACCATATTCGAATTTCCCATTACACTTAGTAAGAAGGATACTTCCAATATGTGGGACAAGAAATATTCTAAATTAGATTCTGTGTTTTTACATAAGTGAAAAAATGGTATTGTTCGAATCAAATCTACAGCACACCATAATGATATGAGAGGCACTGTAGGAGTAAGAGTGGAAGGAATAAATATGTGAAGTAACTATTAGCGTTGCCACAACCGTGAAGACTTACAGGCGATGACGATTACGCAAGATATAGACGTTAGACAGTGGAAATAGTGTTAAAAAAAAAAACTGAAGTGAATGAGTACCTTTTCGATTGTATGAGTCCAAACGTTTTTAGCAAAACAATGGTAATGTGTAAAGCGCAAACATAAAATGACTTAACGAAATTATTATAGTTTTGTCGTTTTGATGGCATATAAAACTCAATCATATATTAGATGAAAGAAAAAAGTATATAACAATTCGTTGCATAAGGAAAACGAAACTTAACAAACGAAAAACTCACCTCCAATGAATATAGCAACAGAGTAGTAGTGGTAGTGGTGGTAGAAGATTTGGACGGAAACTGTACGACGGAAACAAACGAACGAACGAACGAACGAGCGAGCGAACGTACGAACGAACGAACGACTTTGACTTTGTTTGCTAAACAACGTAAGGCTTAAACTAAGCTTCGCTGAGCAGAAATTGAAGTTGAGGCTGAAGCTGAGCTTGGACTTGAGATACAGTTGGAGCTTGTGGTGGTGAATGCGTGTACGTGTATGTGAGTGCACAAGCGCGGTCAAAGTTGGGAAGCAATTCAAGTTGCAAGTTGACGTTCAAGTCGGAGCTCGATAGGATGGAGATGGTGGTTGGTTGATTGGTTGGTGAACGTGATGGTCGTGGCGGTTGTTGTTATATTGATAGTAGTAGTAGTAGTAGTAGTTGTTGTTGTATATAGTAGGATTAGTTGGTTTGGAAAAAGTTCACACATATATACAGAGATGTCAGAAGTCGATTTAAAACATTTGGTTGTCGTTTATTTTCAATAAACATATTCAACTAAAATTTAATTCACTTCTAATTCTATAAATTGTTTGTCGGTAGCAGTTTACTTTAAGCTTAGCAGTTCAAATTCTGATCTATTTTTGAGTATTGACTAGCGAAAAAAAGAATAAAAAAGAAGAGAAAATAGATGTAGTAAGAAACAAAACAAAAAAACAACAACACATATATAAAAAAAATTTCTTGAAAAGCTCGGGCACATATTCGACTAAAATAACGGTGTTTTTGAAATACTTTTCTTCTTAGTGTATGCACACTTTGTCTAAATTTGTTGTAAATTTTGGTTTGCTCCAAAATCAAAGTTTTATATTATTTGTAATGTATATTTTTTGAAGCTTTTTGCTTACTAAAACAATGTTTCAATGCATAAATATTATTTACAAAGCAACTAAATGCTTGCGTTAAGCGACATAAAGCATTCCTTTTTACTTTATGTACAATTCACACGCTTTATTTTTCTTATAGTGTTTTTTTTTTTTCATAATTTAGTTTCGTTTAAAAGCTGGCGCCTGCAACACTCATGAGCAGCATAATGCAGTTGTTTTTTTTTTAATTCGAAATCATCAAAAATCGTGCCTTAGTAAAATGTTGACTGAAATCTACTAAATGATTGTATAAAAAGGGAAATTGCATTTATTTCAAACGAAAAATTATTATTTATCAATATCGAAAGACTTCTTTTCCAGTTGAACACTATTAGCGGTAATTTTTGTGGTGATTATATTAGTTGAATTTTATTTTAACAATTATAATGTCGTCCACTAAATAATGATTGGGTATTGGTATTACATACCTAACCGAGTTCATAATTTGCAAAATGCATTGACATAATCGATTCTCTACCTTCGATTTTACTATACATCACGCCATATATAATATTGTATATATATATAGCAGCCGGATTTAAAGAATTCAGTCTAGAATTTCCGAAAAAAACGGAAATAGCTTTTCGCATATACTTGGTCTTGAAGCCATTTTTCTATTGGCAGAATAGTGAACAACAATTCCCTGTTCAACCCGTTGTAGTATCGAATCGTTCGAGTCAATCAGCATCAGCACATGGAGCTTTAAGCCGTTTTTCTTAAAATTGTATTTTCAAATCGGTAGCTTTAACTTAATATTATCTAATTAACTACATAGGATTCTTTGTACGATTGCTAGTTTTTTATAAGCAATTTTAGTTTTTTTGATCAAAAATTCTACGTTGTTTTACAAGTTCGTTATTTTTCGAAATTTCGATTTAAAATTGAAAAAGTTCATACTTTTGTAAAAAGTCGTATGTAATATAAGATGCCGTTTTAAATTTTATTTCAGCTAACACGAGTTGCTAGCATCAGCTACGCCGTTGTGGCTCTCCTGAAAAGGGTTATTCCAAAGATTGGCCTAAAAGCTAACATTTTGTATAAAATTTTTTTTAAAAAACCAAACTTCGCTGAAGGCATCCCAGTTGAGACTTATAACAAGTATGTGGAAAATAATAATAATAAAGATTTGTATTAAAATACGTGAAGATGTAGTTATCTTTTGGTTCGTCAAAAGTCAGATTCTGTTCAAATTTGATCGGATTATATTAATATATTAACTTTAGCTCTATAAATATTGGTTTATTAATTGCGCAGTTCTGATAATCTCTGTTATTCGGATATCCGAATATTTGGATTTTTCGTGTTGGTTTCTAGATAATAAAATCGAATAGAATTTCTAGTCCTGAGCAAGCTGATTCTTTGAAAATATTACTAGTCGAAACTCTCATTTCTCAGTTATGCCCTTAAATAAGTAATTTTTCTATCACTAATATAATTATTATTTCAGCAAAATTTCGAGATTTTATCACGTGTTACCAATCGAACGACACTTTGCTAGTATAACTAGAATATAATTAGAAAAATAATTCGCCTTACAACTTTTTAGTTCATTCTTCATTTGAAATAAATGCAAATTCTGAAAATGTGTGACGAAAAAAGTGCGCTGGCAACAGAAACACTCATTCTTCTTAACAATTTTTGTTTCTTAGTTATTTACCGATTTTGCATTTCACATTGGCATAAATTAAGAGTTGCTAATTCCAGCTATGTCCATCTTCAATGCAAAAAAAGTATACAAAAATAAATAAAATTATATGCACAAAATAGAAGCGTAGATTAGAGAAACATTTCAATACAAAATTTTGAGGCATAGAAGTAAAAGCGGAGAAGTTAAACATTTTCTAAAGGCTGGGTATAAATTTGTGGTTATTTATTTAAAATTCAATTAATTGGCTCACACATTGTCAAGGCGTTAAAAAAAAATGTTTTGCGGTTAAATATATAGTAAGCATTTTCGGGTAGGAAGTTACAGAGAGTAGATATTTAGGTACATTTTTAACATTTTGCCTATACATACATACATATGTATAGATTGAAAGGTAATAATAACTATAACAATTTATAATAATTGTAATTACAGCGCTTAAAAGTAGAGCGCAGCGAAGCAGCTCGAAAACACTTGCTTTGCAATTGCATAATTTTCGAGTGGTTTTATGCCGATTTTTGCATTTGCAAAAGCACTTATGCACTCATACTCGCACACATGCGCTTACAGCGTAACTATTGACAAAAACAATTGAAACACTCACCTTCTAACGGGACTTGCCATCACCAGTGGTGTCGCCACACCCAACGGTTTAATTCGTTGCTGCATTGTGGGCGTTGCAGTTGTCCCACTGCGTTGTTGTTGCTGTGCGCCCTGATTGCTCGGATGAGCAGGATGATCGGGCGATAATGGATCGGCGGGATTATAGCCACGTTGTGGCTCCAAACCGCTATACAAATAAATAAATATTTATATGAATTAAGAGGAAATAATTGAAGGTACATAAAACAATATAAAGAAATATGTGGTAACTCACCGCTGGCGCGCTAGTGGACTGTGTCGCGGATGATACATGCGCATGTGGCGTGGTGAATCGCCACCACCACCAGCACCGCCGCCGCCGCCACCTCCACTAGCGTTAGGCAACATGCCCGCACCGGTCGCTATGCCGCCGTTATTTAAATTGCTCACGCCTGCCTCCACTTGGGGCAGGTAGAAATTTGTCGAATTGTGTCGTTGCAGTGGCGGTGTGGGCTCACAATCTTGACTCTGCGATGCTTGCGGCTCCATATCGGTGTCTGAACATTCACGTCCAGGCGACAGCTAAACGGCGAGGGGGGAAGGAGCGCAGAAAGGCGCGGTGTTAGGTAATAATTGGAATCGTAAGTAAAATAGAATGTACAAAAGCTAAACACTAATTTTAATTGAAATTGCATGAAAACCAAGGAAACAAAAAAAAAATCATTATGAAAGCGGCTGTTCGAGGTGAAATAATTAACATAAATTATGTATGTATGTAGGCATGTAAATAATGGTAACGAGTATGATGAATTCAATTGACGTTTTCATGTATGGTTTGTGAAATGGTATGAATTTGTTGTTGTTGGTATGCCAAGGAGCGGCAAACTGATGAGCGAATTTAGGGATATAATTAAAAAACTTTCGTGGATTAACTCGTTTAACACAAGGGTAAACAGAATCTGTTAATTGTATTGCAATGGCATTTATTTGTTTTTATGAATTTTACAGAAATTATTTGAACTTCCACAATATAGATGGTTTGACGTATTCGGAATAGACCACAACCATTTCTGTAAGGTGAAGGGAGACATTTTATGAGAGCTAGAACTTGGACTCCGGTAATAACTTTTAAAATAATTTACAAATTATTTATTTTTGATCACAGCAAATCATTCTTAATGGAGCTACAATCATTGCTGCTTTTTAGAATGTTAACACATAACTGAAATTAAGGTCGACTAAATACGTAATCATGATTATGAGATTTCAAAAATATCATGAGAGAAAAAAAACTATTAATAGTAAATTTGAGCATTTTAAAGTAAATGCTGATATAATCTAGCTTCTTCTTAAGAACTTTGATTCGACATTCTCTCTACTATTATTGTGCTGAGACTTAAAGGTGTCTGACTCTTCAAGTTTCGAGGCGTATCTAAACGGCTGAGGATTTTGTTAGCAGCTTTTCACGTCAAAATGTGTAGATTTAAAATTGGGTACTGTGAGGTCAATACTATTGTTACCACCTATAGCCAGTTAAGCTACCGCAGGATAGACTAAATAAGAAAAACACTTAACTTCGGTTGCACCAAGCTATAATACCTTCACAGTTGCATTTCTTATAGCATAAAAGGGTACAAAAGGATCTTCATATTGATTTTGATCGGTCAGTTTGTATGGCAGCTATATGCTTTACTGGTCGGAGATTGTAGCATTGCCTTGAACAATAACCTAAGCAAAATTTCGTGAAGATATCTTGTTAAATAAAAAAGTTTTCCATACAAGTACTTAATTTTGACCGATGATATTGTAAGGGCAGCTATATCCGACAGTGGTCTAAAATCGACGGTTCCGACAAATGAGCAGCTTCTTGAGGGTAAAAAACGTTTGCAAAATTTCAAAGCAATATCTCAAATTACTGCGCGTATATACAGATGAACGGACAGATAGTCAGACGGACATGGCTAAATGGACTCAGCTCGTCATGCTGATCATTTACATTTATATGTATATTATAGGATCTCCGATGTTTCCTTGTGGGTGCTACAAACTTCGTGGTAAATTAACAATACCCTGTTTAGGATATAAAAGAGCGACATTTGGTTAATATTAAGTGTTCGTCATGGGGCAGTAGGTACAACATGGTGCCTAATTTGATAGACTCTAATCAAATTGCAGTATTTTGCACATTTATGGCATTTGAATCATAAACAGTTTAATTTTCACATAAATCCTAAAAAAATGTCTTCTTATAGCAACATTATTCATGAATGTATGTATGTATGTAAGTAGGTATACAACAATAAAGTATTTTAGTTAAAACGTAACACAATGGTTGTACAAAATATGATAATGAAAACGGTATTTGTTAAAAATCCTAAATAACTATATATGGTATTTAAAACATTGTACAAAGAAATAAGTGACAATGCTTCAACTATTTATATTAATGAAAACTTTACGAATCGTATACGAGTAAAAAATCGCTCAAATTACCAACAAACGAATTAAGTAGAATATATTGTAGAGTTTGCAAAACGCAATTGAAATCTTAATAAAGGAACGAATGACATGAAGAGTAGGTATTTTTATTTTTTCATTAAAGAGAAATCTGTTTAAAAAAGTTATCGCACGAACAAATACAAGTATATGTATATGAACAATAATAATATGGTTTTTCGCAAAAAAATATTGAAAAAAAATGAATTAATAAATAGATTTTTTTTTACCTTTTTCGGTGCTTGCATTTAGTGTAGAGTTTTGTTTTGCTTTTTTTTTTTTTGATACGGACCAATTTGAATATAGAGCTTTTCTAACTAACAAAATAGCATACCATTACGAGATAGTGCATTCAATCAATATTAGGCAAACTACTATAGTTCTGTAGTAAAGAGTTCAAAAAGAGTTTTAGTAAAAAAAAAAAAAATGTTTGGTTATTTTATTAATGGGCTTCCGCGTTGAAATGTGATTTTTTACTATTCTGCTCTTTCATAAACTTGAAATCACTTTTAAAAGATGTAGTAACAAGAAATTCATACTTTTTCTAAGAGATGGCTTTAGTAATTTGTATCGCGTTACAGAGTTAAGATTTCCATTTAAAGAAAAATTTTGGAGAGTTTTGTGATCGCTTGACTCAGTATTATTTGAGCACGCTTTAAAAATGAATACCAGCAAAGCGAAACTGCGCCATATTTTACAGTTTTTTTTTCGATAACGGCAAGCCGGGGGGCTGAAAATGTGAATAGTGTTTATGGCCCTGATAACAGCCAAATTACCCGCAGTTTTGGTTTCGTCGATCCCATTACGCTTGATGGCAAAGATGCGAAAATATCGATAAAATAATGGACTCTTTATTGGGACCCGTACTGTCAAGTATCGAACCGTCTGAAAGAAGCAATAGCCAAGAAGTGATCAGCTTTGGTCAATAGGAGCGGAACTGAGTTCTATCAGGACAACGCCGGGCTACGCACATCGCTTATGCCGGCTTGCCAGTACTTCCCGAAGCTTGGTTGGTAGGTTATAATGCATCCACTTTTTAGTTTGGATCTGGCGTCAAGTGATATCTGTTCCTATCTATAGCGAATAATTTTGCTGGTGAAAAGTTCGCCTCAAGAGAAAATTGTGGAAATCGATTGTTCCACTTTTTTGTCAATAGAGACGGACGACAGTTTTTATTAGAGTGGCATTATGAAATTTACTTCAAAATGGCAACAAGTTACGAACAAATTGGTGTATATTTGACATAAATCTTTCTAACTCTGCTAAATAAAATTTTAAATTTAATGCAAAATAATAACAAATAATATATTAACTGTTCTTGGTTTGCCATACTTTGGAGAGTAGCGATTTGAACTAGCTACTGGTATAAATCAAACTGGCTGAATAACGAAATAGCAAGACAAACTGTCAGATGATTATACCGCTCTCTTGTGTTAAATTAAACTTGTAAATTTTATTGCAAATGAAGATTTCTCAGAAAAGAGAAAAGGACTCAAGCAAAACAGTCATAGAATTGAGCTGTGGAAGACGGCCTGCAGACTTTTGACTACAGAACTATATGGAAATAGTTTGCCGAATAATTAGTTGCGGTAAATAGTAGCATACTAAATACATACATTTATTGTAGAGCAGAAAATATAACTAAACTGCACATGCAAAAAATAAAAAAAACAACTTCAAAATTAGAGAAGTGTAAAAATATCAAAATAATGAAAAACTTAAGGATTTTTTAAACTTTCCAAAAGATATGTGCATAAGCTATTGTTTAATTGCAGCAATGCAGAAATTTAAAATTAACGAGCATTCGGCAGTGAAGATTTCAATTTGCTAGAAATGAAAAGGGGTTTGAGGTTTGCTACGTTTCAAGCATATGCTGCTATTTTTAGATTTAGACTTCTAACTTTATTTATACTATACAAAATATAATATAAATATATTAACCTACAGGAAAATGCATAGTTTAAACTTGTATATTCATACCCATATGTATATCGATACCCACGAACTGATTTACCTTATGGACTTGTCTATGACAGGTGCACTTCTTATAGTATAAAAAGTTATAAAAAAAAGACTTTTATCTTGATTTTGATCGGTCAGTTTGCTGACCAGCAGCTATATGCTGTAGTGGTGCTGTCTAAACACTTTTTTCGAAGAAGCTGTCCTGGACAATCTCATCTATGCTAAATTTCGTGAAGATAATTTCTTAAATAAAAAAAGTTTTTCTTACAAGAACTTAATTTAGATCGATTAGTGTGTATGGTAGCTATATGCTATAGTGGTTCAATATCGGCAATTCAGACAAAAGTACAGCTTCTTGGAAAGAAAAGGACGTGTATAAAATTTCAGATCGATACCTCAACAACCGAGTGACTATAGCCTGTTCAGAGTATAAAAAAAATTTTAAGAGCATAATACATTGCTAACATTCATAGAAGGCCGAAATGCATATTTAAAATATAAAAAAAAAATATATATACAAAATACCTGCATACATAAATTATATATAGATACAGTTTCGTTACAGCGATTCCCTCTTTTTCAATGATCTGCATACAAAAGCAAATATTTAAAAATTGTGCAAGCAATAATTTATGTAATAAGCTGTTAGTGCCGAATTATAAGTTAGAAAATGCTTCAATTAAATTTTAAACTTAAATTAAATAAATTATATATTTGTATATTCGAAAAAAAAACATTGTCTCGTAGTCAGGCGGGCAGGCAGTGACAACACTATCAAACTAATATAAATGCAATCACCAATTAGTGCAAAGTGAAAAGAATAGCATAGAAAATACGAAACTATAGGTCAAATATTCAATTATTGCACTCGCAGTACATACATATGTACAAAAAAAGAAGTAATAACAAATTGGAAGGCATTAGAATTAATGGAATCAAAATATGCTACTCGTATGTGGGAATCACGTCATTCCAAACTAAAACAGGCAATTAAGAAAAATTCTATGCAGCTACACGCTATTAAATATGTAGGTACTGGAGACAACCACCATTTCTATGTGTGCATGTGTGTGTGTGTGGAAGTGCATACATATAAATGTGTGTGTTTGTGTAATGGAAACTAAACACCCAAGTATTGTTGAAAAAATTATGAAACTAAATAAAATAATTGACAAAAAGGCATACGTGTACATACATAAGTACGAGCACTTTATCGTACATGAATACAAACAACAACACAACGAGTACATAGTACATATAAGAAGGAAAAAAAGTAAGTTTAATAGTTTGCTTAGTTTTTTTGTTTTTTTACAAAAGATAGTTTCGCAACGATTCGCAACAATAACCAGCAATAATCAATTTACCCACCTTACTATAAAGCGTTGTGCTGCCCGACCGTTGATTATAACCATTGCCCTGGTCCGTATAAGTCTTTACCTGAGTGTGTCGATTGTCCCTATCGTAATAGTTTTTCAGCGTTTCGCGTGGTGAACGCGGCACATTGCCAGGTGTGTTGTTGCCCCGCATACTGCTGCCCTGTTGATTCGTGCGCCGTTCGGTGGTGATAACACTAATACCCTGACCATCCTTGTGTGAGCGACGAGCGGCATACTTTTCTGGCTTAAGAAGACTGTTTAAAACGATTTGTTGGTGTCAGCATTTCATCCAATGGCATTAACACAGCGGCAGCAATATTCCAGCAATCGTTTGTGCGGTATATAATTTATTTCAATTACGCAACGGAAGTTAATAAAAGAAAGAAATATTATTTATTAATGCCGATTCATGCTGTACATTAGATGCATTATAAATATGTACCTTGGATATTGTGGTCCACACTGGGTGTAACAGCAATTATGCCAGCAGCCACGTGAGAATGGATTGTATCCACCTTTGAATTTGCCGGTGACCTGTTCGTTTGTTGTGCGCCCACGTGATACGAGCACCATATGAAAACCGGTAAGCCCGAAAATCGGAATCGCTAGGATTATAACTATAGCCATCAACACCATACTATATTTGTGGCAAAGATTTGCAGTTAAGGGAAATTTTATATTTTTGGAAACTGATACGATATCGAATTTGGCGTTAACATCAGTTTAGATGTAACATTATGTTAATGTAATAATGTCTAATTATAGGTACGTAAATAATATTAAAAAAAAACAAGTAAAATCGATAACGGCAGCACCGCAGTCCTTCAGAATGCGTTCAATATAGCACAAAAGGGTATAAAAAGAACTTTATCCTGATTTATATCGGTCAATTTGTATGGCAATTATATGCTATAGTGGCCCGATCCAAACAAAATCCATGGAGATTTTAGCGTTCTCATATACAATAATCTAGGCCTAATTTCGTGAAGATGTCTTTTCAAATAAAAAATGTTCCCATATAAGAGCTTGATTTTGATTGTATGTCAGCTATATACTTGTACTATAGTGATCCGATGTCGGTGTTTCCGACAAACGAGCCACAAAGTACGTGTGCACACTTTCAGATCGATATCTCAAAAACTGAGAGACTAGTTCGCGTATATACCAACAGACGAAAATGGATAAATCGACTGAGCCCGGCGCTTTCTTCTGGGTGTTACAAACATTGAGACACACTTAATATACCCTACTCATTGTACAAAAAAAAAAAGGATTAAATAATATAAAATTGCTTAAGGTAGTAGTTTGGTAACCTGGGTTCAATAAATCGAAAATTTTTTTTTGCTTAATTTGAAAGTACAATGTCTTGAGAATATACTGGGTAAATTCAGACAGAAACTCGAAATATTTCCGGAGTTATAACGAGTTTCCTAGAGCGCCTCGGAGTCCAACCTTTACGGTTGTGGAACTTTAAACGCGTTTTTCTTAAAACATTGTTTCTCTGGTCTGTGGCCCGATCAGAATGACCTATAGATTGAGAAAAATCAAGAATATTTAATTTCATATAACATCAAGAACCAAAATCACCCGGGGCACCCACGTACTTTTTTTTTGAGGTTCCAACTTCGAGTGACAATAATAATAGTAATAAACTAAAAAAATTAATAAATTCAATCGTTATTTTAAGTTTTAGAATCCATTTGAATATGGGTAAGGCTTAAAATTCCCGATTCAAAATTCCTAAAATAAAATCCACACTTTCAGTACTGGCGCTTCAATAAATAACCTTGGTCGGTCCAAATTTCTCTCGCGTCGAACTTCTTCCTACAGTTGGCAAATTTTTGTTATGCTGGGGATTGAATTTTTGGGGGATTCGGGACCTTCTTACTGAATATTAAAACCTTTGGGGTTTGGGTAAAATGTACTCGGCGAAGCTCTGCCTAAAATTTCCAATTAACTCTTCAGTCAAAAACGGTATACCTAATATGTTTGGCTTGTCATGGCGTTGAAAAAGTTTTTACATATATTTGATATTTTACACTTTCAAAAGGATACGCTACTATGGGCGATGTTTCCCTGATGTTTGGCGTTATCTTCAATATATAAAATAAGCATAATGAAAATATGCTCAGCATGTGTATGGACAGTGAAACCAAAAAGAAGAAGAAGAAACGATAATTGCGACGTCCAATGCAATTGTTCACCCAAGGGCAATGATGATCGAATGTCTATAATAAAAATCCGAATAAAAATGATTGTAAACATTTAATATGAGCATATAATAAAATAAACATTTGCTACTTACCTCTATGCAATGATTGCATACGGAACAGTGTGAACAGCGTGGCGGGCGATAGAATTTACAAGTCACACACCATTTCATCTTGACGGTGATGCCATTGATTTCGGCATTTTTATAAAGCGGTGCACGAAATTCCTCCTCCCGGTCCTCATCTGGCGATGCTGTTCGTATACGTATGTGTGGAGTTGAGAGAATGGTTACAAAGTAGAGGAAAAATAAAAATAAAAATGTTAAGTAAATGTCATTGCATAGAAATGTACCTTTTGGTATGACACCGGGGTCCATGAATGTCGCTAATGAGAAATTGGCCAAAACGAAAAATGTGATGACACCCTGATATGCCGGTACCCATGGATGGCTTTTCAAATAGTATTGGCAGCTGCAATGAAATGGAAATGACAAGAACATAAGTATCACCAATAAATATAAGCCAAATAAACGGACCTAGTGTAGATGGCATATAAAATTATGTAAACGGAAATGAGATGGGAAGTCGTAAGTACGGCTATAAGTAGCTGCCTGAACGTAAAGGAAGGAAATACATTCGTTGCTACACTTTATGTGCGATATACATTTTTGCTAAAGAAAAAGTTTAAATGCGATATCCGCTTTTAAATTTATATCTCCTATATACTTTGTATATTATATATATATTGTAAATGTATATATAAATATGTATGAGTGTGTGTATGAGAGACCTCTAGTAGTAGGCTTGCGAGGCTGTCATTGGTGCCGGCGATGATTTGTAGTCGCAAACTTAGCTAAGCATACGCTCCGAGTCAACTCGTAATGAAGGATGTGGGACAAAGGGCAAGACGGTTCACTCTGTGGACAGTCAAATGCGCAAACCAACCAGCACTTTTGTACATTTTAAATTAATGTGAGCTCAGGCGTAGACATAAAAGTGGGGTAGGCAGGCATGCGGTTTGAGTTATGCGGCATTACTACGAGGCTTATGCCTTATTTATATATATCTTCACTGTTTTCATTTCATTTTCACAACAAATAAACATAAAAAAGAAATTGTCGCATAGAATACATAAATACATAAATACATACATACTTACATATATATATATATATATATATACAAGTATATCATGTATTTAGTAGTGGCAAGGATGCTGATTCAAAATCACACAACAGCCAATATATAGTTAGTTAGGTGAGTAGGTTAGCTAGCTATCGGTATTTATATAAGCAGTATCCCTTGCTGGATTACAAATCCGTTTACTAACGGATATGCTTGCTTTATATAACCTTTGTGCCATATAGTACACAATACATACAGACATAGTATTGCTGCTTTTAGTGTGCTCATAAAAGCAAAAGCTCTCATTCACTCGCCGACTCGCAATTTGTATGAACAAGCATATGTAGTATATTCGTAGGCTTTTAGCCATAATCGTATCTATGTATGGATTCCACATGTTAGCTGGTACAAGCTAAAAATTATAGATCACCTCAAGCAATTCAATACATGTATGTATGTATGTGTGGCTGGCTTTATGAATGCATTGCATTTGGCAAAAATTTCATTGAAATCTATGATGAATAACTTCGTTGTTTATTTTGTCTAAATAAAGAACTGAGCTTTTTCATTCATTCAACGGTCTCATGTTCAGAGAGATGACTGAACTGTTGACTGACTATTCCTTGCATATTTTTAGTTATTTAAAATTTCTCGTCGGTTCAGTTTGGAAATTTGACAAATTTAAATTTAATTACGAGCAGAACAAACTTTCTAATAAGTAGTAAAGCGCACATACACAAAAAGTTTAAAAATATTAAACGATATACGAGATATTGCTTTCACTCAACTATAAAGTCAATAAGAAGAATATTTATATATATTTAGTATATGGTTCTTACTGATTTTTGGAAACAATCTAATATTATGTTTAAGAAGAGCTGATTTTGTTATGATGAATAAAAGTCTCTTGATTGCTGTGATATTCAAAAAATAACAATAGTAAACTTTTTATAAGGGATTTCTCTTCAGAGAAATTTACTATCGAGTAGTACATTCTCGTAGCGCGCCACTCACAAAATTTTACTGGAAAAATACCAATATCAATCGGTGATTCAATTATTGTTTTTGGAAGCAAATGCCGCAGTGAAATCAAAGAGCGCTTGGATGAGGTATACGGCGACTCTCCTTCTCCTTTGATGGCCAGCTTGGTTTAACGTGGTGCAATGTGCTGACGTCGATTTTTGATGATCACGCCCGGTTGCTCTAAAAACGGCTGCCATGGAGGATAATGGCACAGAAGTTCACGTTCTCGTATTGGCAGACCGTCGATTGAAGGTGTGCGAGATAGTTGAGTAGACATTTTGAAAGTATGCTTGGCTCATATCTTGTATAAAATATAAAGCATAAGAAAGCTGTCGCCGCGATTAGATACAATTCTTAGATTTTAGCTGCTTCAAATAAAAACTCAATATTTGTAAAACAATTAATGCTCTACAGTAATAAAATATCAAGGATGAACACATTGACTTTAAGCTAAGGAATTGTAGATGAGGAAATCTGAAAATTTTCCAGTTTGCATTGTCGCACATGAAGTGTCACACAATATTACTAGATAGCAATTTGTCATTTAGAATAAACAAAACGAGTGAAAATTCAAAACTTTCCGTTGATTTTTTTTACCGTTTCCGTTTAGCTTTTCATTGAATTTAATAGAAAATGTAAATTTTCATCGGTAGAGCAGTTTGTTTGCCTATCGCTTTTGTTATTTTATGTTAATCAAATGCTAAGCTGATTTATGATAACCTCGTTATTTCTAAATATTTTACAACAACACCGCCCCAACACACATACACGTCTATATACATACACACATTCATCCTACATACATAATTCACGAGCTGGAGACGCGCATAATGCAGTTGTCGAATTGAAAAGTAAACATTTCGAGGCGAATTTCGTATGCGAATTGAATTTGAAGAGCTCCGCAAACAATTTGTCGGCTCTTTTTTATTTTGTTTCTATTTTTTATGCATTAGTAAAGAAAAAATGAATAACAGCTACACAAAAAAAAAACTTTTTTTAATCGCATTTGCAACGCCTGTGGAATTTTAAAAAGTCCCACAACGGGCCACACACTAAGGGAACTGAGGAGTTAGGCAATTACAAATGAATTCCGACGAATATGACAGCAGCTAGGGTAGGAAGTCATGTGATAAGGCGGTGTACATCCATAAGTATATATACAATATATATATAGGTATGTATGTATGTGATTGTGTGGTAATTGATTCGTTATTCACCAAAAATCAAGCAGCGTGTCTATTAAATATTCATATCTCAAGTCAAAATTAACTTAATTTTGTGTTAATTAACTTCGTAAACAAACAGTAGCTTAAAAAATTAATCCAGTGATGTGCTTTGCTCATAGGCACATAGATTTGAAAATATTAGATATGTTATGTCCGATTAAGATGGGGAACTCAGATTAGTAAAACAACAAATGAAAAATGTTGTTGAAAATATGTGGCTTAAATTTTTTTTAACCCTTTCACTACCATGGGGATTACGTATCCCCGGTGATGGTGAAGATAGTGATATAGGTATAAGGCTTATTTTGTTCTCTCGATTTTTGTTGACTGAAGAGATTGAACGCATCATAATGGCCCCAATTTCAAGAAATTCTAGTGAGCTACAAATATTTATGTGCCTATTTTCAGAATCGTTGTTAATTTTCTATGTACAGTGCACAAATAAACGAATGGCTCTCCTAAAAGTAAAAGGAAGCCATAATATAACATACACTTATATAACATAAATAAAAATTGTGTTGAGAATTTCACTTATAATAGACTTCCTGAGATCTGATTACTGGTCTCAAAATGAATCCATGGGAAACGAGTTTGCAAAAAGGGCTATTGCACAAAATCGTTATCAAAATTTAATGTCAAAACTTTATTTCAATTTTCATGAGCAACCGCAATGGGCATCTAAACTTTAATATATAGAGGAGGTTGTCAATTATGTCAAATATACGTTTAACAAAACTCCGAGTGATAGCTCACGTCAGAGCTTTGATGAATCGATGGCTAAATTCAAAGGGAGGTCATCGCTAAAGCAATATCTTCCGTAGAAGCCGATTAAACGTGGCCTCAAAGTTTGGAAAAGATGTGATTCCAAAAGTGGATACACTTATGACTTCAATATTTACACTGGTAAGGATAACTCCCCAGCCCCATGTGGAACTTTGTGTGAGAGGGTCCCTATCTAAATTTTATAAATAAAATATAATATAAAGCACAGAGTTAACAATATAACAAGTTTTTTTATTTTTGAAATACTAGATTTTAAATTTTTTTTTGTCTTACTAGGCATTATATATATCAAAAAAAAAAAAAGTCAAGAGTCGAGAAAATTTTTTTAAGAGAGACAAAACTTTGATGGTGAATCCAAATAACAATTGGCATACATCAAATCAGAGTTAGATTATGCTACTTTAATGAGATATCCGTATACTCTTAACCATTTAACTGTATTAATACTTTTACTTTGGTGCGTTAGCACCTAAAGTAACTTATGCCGATATGTACCATTTGATCGAATTTGACCCAGTGAAGGTCGTGAAGTCGTCCCAAACTTGCCTCATGTGAGTCGTAAATCCACCGCTGTCAATGACGATAACATCGAAAATGTTATAAAAAGCAAACATTGACATTAGAGAGACAACAGATGATTTCAACATCTCTTATGGATCGACTCAAGCCCTTTCGTTTTGTTTAGGTATGACTAAACCCCAAAAACCTGAATATTTTGCAAAACGACTCGAATACAGATCGCCACAGAACTGGGGAACATCAAACGCATCATCACTGAAAAGGCGCTCCAAAAATGAGACGAAACCAAAAAAACAAAAATTTCGCAGAAGGCACTGAAGGCCATCCCAGCCAAGGCAGATAACAAGTGGTATGGAAAATTAAAATAAGCGGTGGCATCAGGAGTCTATTTTGAAAGCGATAATAAAGATTCATATTAAAATAAGTGAAACAGTAATATTTTCTTGTTAGTCCCGCTAAAATTTCATACCTCTAACATCCACACAATAAGGCAATAAGTCAGTAAGTTAGAGATCATAGTAATGGGTGCAGTCCAATGGGTTTATAATTTCGCCTTATGATTTAAGTGCAAATTTAAATTCTCCACTCGGTTCTGGCATTCTAGTATCATGACATAATGGCGCAAAAATCTCTCGCGATAGTAAACATTAGGGCATGGCGGGTAATATTTCCATGTAGTATATTTATGTAACGTATATGTATGTAAGCTGTCTCAAGTGCACGTGTTATTATTTCCGACTCAAACGTTTAATGTCTCAAGTACAGGTGTCTTTACTTAACTATTTGTGCCACATT